TATGAAATTTGGTAGGTCGGATTGATTGGCCAAATATAAAACCCATAGAAAATCTCAACTTCCTAACTTTACAAACACGAAAGTTATGGCATTTCCGATCAATCAGTTATATGGCAGCTATAGGATATAGTCGGCCGATCCTTATGAAATTTGGTGAGTCGGATTGATTGGCCAAATATAAAACCCATAGAAAATCTCAACTTCCTAACTTTGCAAACACGAAAGTTATGGCATTTCCGATCAATCAGTTATATGGCAGCTATAGGATATAGTCGGCCGATCCCGGCCGTTCCGACTTATATACTGCGTGCAAAGGAAAGAAGGGTGTGTGCAAAGTTTCAATTCGATAGCTTTAAAACTGAGAGACTAGTTTGCGTAGAAACAGACAGACGGACAGACGGACAGACGGACAGACGGACAGACGGACAGACGGACAGACGGACAGACGGACAGACGGACAGACGGACAGACGGACATGGCTATATCAACTCAGGAGGTGATCCTGATCAAGAATATATATACTTTATAGGGTCGGAGACGTCTCCTTCACTGCGTTGCACACTTTTGACCAAAATTATAATACCCTCTGCAAGGGTATAAAAATCTTGGCATAAATAATTAGGATTTATAGATAAATATCAGTATGTTTTTTTTTTTTTTTTTTTTTTTAATTTGCTGCTAGCATGAAGTAAATGATAAAATCTCTAAATGCTGACCGATTTCTTAGATTTTTTCTTGAGGTGCACGAGAGGTGAATGGAGAAGTGAGGCAACTTCAAAGCTCCCCCCCCCTCTCCTCCTGTCTCCTGTCCACTTTGGCCACTTTTTCTGCCGTTGTTGTTGTTGCTAATGTTGTTTGGCTTGCTGACGAAGATCAAACAGCCGCGCCAAGTGTCGAGCTGCGACCTCCTAAGGGGCAAAGGCCATAGCAAATGTTGGAGGGGGGGGTTTAGGTTATTCCAGGGAATGAGAGAGCAATGTGCACTCGAGATAAACGTGCGAGGCAAACCGCAAAAGTGACAAGCCCAAAAAAGGCAAACAGAGGCGGTAGCAAAAAAAAAAAAAAAAAGGAAAGAAATACAAAAAAAAAAAGGGAAAGAAATACAAAAAAAAACAAGGGCAAAGTTGTTTGTCTCTTTTTGCACACCTCCGCCCCACTTTTCCACCCCGCAGATAAACCACTGAAAAATGCTTGCCATCGGACTAGTCGGGATTTTTGTGGATTTTGGTTTTCCCACTCCCCGTGATTGTATGTGTGTGTGAGTGTGGGCTTTTCTTTTTGCAAGGGGGAGGGAGGGGGCGTGCTCTTTGCGTTCAATTTTAATGAGTTTGTTGCCAAACAAGGACAAACACACGAATTTTGCCTATTTGCAGCTTGGGGACAAATCGAACTGGCCGCCAAGGGGCTCCGGATTGCCAGTTTGCCGGATTGCCAGTTTGCCGGACTGCCAGTTTGCCGGATTGCCGGACAGAAGGGGACGGCCCGGAAGCGTGAGCCATAAAGTCAACTAATTAAAAAATCTGCCTAAGCCAGTTGCTCTTTTTGGCAGTGTCTTTGGTCAGTTTATCGCCAACGTGGCCGAAAATTCGCAGCCCAAACAAACACCACGAAATGGTGGGCCTTTTCCCCCCATTTACCATTTATCCTCCTTAAATTTTCTGGGTTGATGGATAAGTTTTGGGTGGAAAATGGGAGGATTGCTTACTGTGAAATATCCTAATGAGGCCGCCTTCTAGTGTCAACGCAAAGTTTTTCTTTGAAATCAATCTTAGCCTTTTCAAAGTAATTTCCAAAATTGTCCCCTTTTTAGTTGAAATGTTATCCTTACTTTTGCAGATTTGGTTTCCCTTTTATTAAAAAATTGGCAATTTTTCTTTTCCTATTTCATCTGAAATATAATCTGCTTTTTGGTTTTTCGTTTGCAAATATTGCTTTTTAATTTACAATATCAATATCAAACTGAGTTGAATATTTTATTGATCATATTGTTCAATAGATTTAGTTTTCCTTTTAAGGACTTGATAATAAATGAAATGCTTTAAATTGGGTAAACTAATAACTTGTGGACTAGAAAAGAACAGGAAAAGGATGTTATTTCTAGAAAGGGTCACAAGTTTTGGCAATAAATTAAATACAAAATCTATGGCACAATAATAATTGGGACAGAGTCAAGGGCCAAGAAAAAAGGTTAAGTGTGGTAGACAGGCGTATCGAACAGACACATGGAAATAAAGTCACGCATTTTCTGGGTCTTAAACTTCAAGTTTGTTGTTCCCTTTCTCTTTCCAACTTCAATCTGCGACCCTTTTTATTTGCGATTGGCATGAAAATCACATTAGAATCTATTGCCTCACCTGACGACCCATTTCCCTCAGCCATTTGCATTCCCGCCTTAATATCCCGCACTTAAGGCGCCCCCTTTCCCCTCATCCCCCTCACCCTGTGTGCATTTCCTTTATGGCATTTCCAGTTTACGTCCTGCCTGTATCCCCATCTCTAACTGTATCTGTATCTGTAAATGTATCTGTATCTGTCCGTTTCAGGTCAGAATTTTCCTCTTCTTCAACGACCTGAAAGCTGTTTTACTTTTCTCCTCACTTTTGCTGCCAACGAAATCCTTTTGCAAAAGGCTTTGCGTCTTCTCAGTAATCCGCTTTCGACAGTTGCCGTTCGGGAAAATGTGAATGGAAAACTATGCCTAGTGGGGCGGTAAGGGGCGTGGGGGGTGTGGAAAAAGCGAACTGTCAAGTCTTCGTTGGGCCTACCTAAATCTATTGATGGCTCCTTTACGGGAATTGCAAATGGAGCTGAAGTGGGAAGCATTAGGCGCCTTTCCTCAAAGTGAAAGTTAGAGAAGCCACAATAATATTTCATCTTTTTTTTTTTGCCTAATTGGGTCGATAGTGGAGCTTAAAATACGACTATTTTGTAGCCCAATTGGGTATTGTGAACTGTCCACAAAATTGAGTGGAAATTAAGTACATTTTGTGTGCCCTATTGATGATATATCAATGAGTTCTTTGTGAGTCTAATGAAATCTTTGACTTTTGAATATTGCACAATGCCACAGCAATCTCATGTGGATGAATGTTAAATAGACTCATATTTTTGATATGTGTCCTTTTCAGTACCTCCATAATTGGAACTTCCTTTTTGTCAGTACTTTAAAGTTTTCCCAAAGTCGTTATGTATGTGTTAAAAAAAAAAAAAAAAAAAAAAATCGATGACACATTTCGTATTTATTGGATCTTCATCGGGGATTGTTGTCTCATTTTGCCATTGTCCTGCCATTCGTCCTTTTCACTCCATCAGTTTCCCTTGGCCATGATTAACCGCAGTTGCCCGGAATACTTTTCGGCCATTTGCATTGCCGGTCGGAATGCAATGCCCCCCGTCAGTCAGTCAGTCAGTCACATGGTCACATGGCAATGGAGTGCATCAATTGTGCGTCCATTTATGTCGACCCTCCCTCCCCTCCCCCCTCTCTTCGTTTCCCCCCAATCCATTCCCTAATGAGCTCCGCAGGAGGGGGGTTTTGTTAATTATCTCATTGCTGCTGCTGTGCTGTGTTGTTTATGGCTGCATGTGTTGCCAATGCTTGTTGTTGATGGTTGTTATTGCTGATGGCTGTTGTTGCTGCTTTGTTACATGGCAAAATGGCAACTCAAGTTGCTGCGACAACTGTTTGTTCAGGGGGCCATTTATGGGCTTATGCTGCTGTTGATGCTAAAACTGGATGTGAATGTGGCTGTGGATGTGAGGCCAACACCAGAAGCTATTCCCAGTTGACTGCAGCTGAGAGCGTGGTTAACCAGTCCGAAATCCGATTTAAGTTGCAGTTGGCAACTCCAGTGCAGTTGGCTCTTTGGCATTTCCCCAACTCCAATTGGCCCCGCCATAATTGAAAGTGTTGCCATTGACCGCAGGACAAAAAGGGATTTCAATGCCGGTTCTCGAATTGCCAAGCACCTTCCGGACTTTCTCCCCCGCTTTCCACCGCACTTTTCCCCGCACTTTTCCCCGCACTTTCCCCCGCACTTTTCCCCGCACTTTTCCCCGCACTTTTCCCCGCACTTTTCCCCGCACTTTTCCCCGCACTTTTCCCCCGCACTTTTCCCCGCACTTTTCCCTTCACTTTTCCCCTGACTTTCCACTTGCCACAGTGAAACAATTCAATTTCACAGAACCGGACATTTCTCGGTCATACGTGCGTGTGTGGCATTGCTCTCGATGATGTGTGTGTGTGTGTGTGTGTGTGTGTAAGTGCGAATACGAGTGCTCTATTTATAGCTCATTTCCCTTACTCCTTTTTTCCCTTTTCCCCTTTCACCTGAACTTTCCCTCACACACACACACACACACACACATAGCATCCTGTGCACGTTGACAACTTAACGGAAAATTCATTTCACACTCTCGCACTTTTCCAGACCCAAAAGGTAGACTCCCCCTCCCCCCTCCCCCCTCTCCCACTGCCAACCGATAATTGTGTGGCATGCGTGAAATGCGGACTGCAATTGGAGCATCGAATAAGGGTCATTGCGAATGTTCAGTGAAATTATCCTGATTTCCGCAGGAGTTTGAATCAGCATATGGATTGAAGGCTTACATAATGAAACTTAATCATTCTGGAAAAGTTGTAAGGCCTTAAGGCCGAAGTTTGTATACTCTTATCTTATATTATTTCTTTGCCAAATTATTTTAAAATATGCAAACTTTAAACTAAAAAGAAAAAAGGCAATCATAATTAAATCCACCTATGGAAATTAAGTTTCACTCAAAACCAAAATTAAACTGAGAATATTTATGGTTAGGAATATTTATCACTTAATGCAAGATTTAATTAATGGTAGCCCAAATATAGAAGTATAATTTAATAGCAAATCCATGTTTTTTTGGGAGTGTTTCTGGGCAATAAGCCTTGACATCTTCACGCTGTGTTACCACCCCCCCTCCTCCCCCCTGGGAATTTCTTAGATGAAGATGTTTGGAATACTCACGCTGCGAGTTGGAGCGCCGGATGATGTTCTCGAGGAATGTGTTCTGCGGCGCAACCAGTCCACGTCGTCCGCCAGGCATTTTGCCGCCTACACGCTACGCGCCGCGCTGCCCAATCCTCGCCTGCTCCGGCTCCTTCTCCTGCTCCTTCTCCTGCTCCTGCTCCTTCTCCTGGTGCTCCTGCTGTCCCGTTTTGCTGGCCCCGTGTCGGTGTCCTTCCACTCCCGGCTTCACTTTCACTTCCGCTTCCGCTGCCGCTTCCTATTCCACTGACAGCTGGCCTGGACGACGCTGAGTTCGCTGTGACAACTGACAGGTGTTCTGACGGCTGACAGTTGTCAGCTGATGGATAGATGGCCGGCGGAGGTGCTCCTGGTTCCTAGTATCCTAGTGCCTGCTATCCAACTCCTGATTCCACGGGATTCACAATTCAGTGGGCGAGATCGATCCAGAAACCGATCTTATATGGTCGTGGATCTGGCTCATTCGAATTTCGCAGCGCAGGGGATTCCGCTGCTCCGAGCGTCCGTCATTTTGATGCTATCTCACTCTCTCTCTCTCTCTCTTTCTCGCTCGCTTTCTCCCTCACTCTCACACACACACACACACTCGCACGCACACTCACTCACTCACTCACTCACACACATGCGGGGAGAGAGAATCGCTTCGATGCTGATGACCACTTGACCAATCACACAGTCTTATCGGTTGCATATGGCACTGTGGGGAATAGACAAGAGAGATGGAAAAAAGCCATTAGTTAGAGATAGCAATTGCAAGGAAATTTAAATTTTTATTTGGAAAGTGCCACACAAATCACCCGGGTTCTTAAATCACCCATTGAAGTGTCTAAAAGTATGCAACAATATGTTTTGGGTACGGAAGTCCAATGGATTTTAAACACGCTTATAATTGATTTTACTTAAATTTCTCGCATATCCTTAGGCTTAATTTATATAATTTTTCTATAATTTATATTTATTATGTGCTGCTGACATAACAAATTTGTATGTTTATTATTTCTGATTTGTTTAAGTTGCCCAGTTAGAAAACAGTACACCTATCTTTGTTACCATTTCGTTATTATTTCACAATAAAAAAAAATATATATATATTTTAAGCCCATTGTGGGTTCTTTGGCTTCCTCATTATGATTAAAATTCGAACGCCTATAAGAACTCTTCAGAAATTGACATTTACTTTTAGGCATTATTTAAAATATAGGTGAGTGACTATTATGCACATTATACCCTTGCTGACTAAATGTATTCAGAAGGTATACATAGATATACTAAATGAATTAAACTATAAGCTAACGGCTAAGAAATAAATGGATTCAAAAACTAAATTTGCTGTGCAAAATAACTTTCCAACACATTTTAATACCTTGTATTTAAAAGATACACATACACAACTAACTTTTTATTTAAACCCATAGATAGAAGCCAGCTTAAATCTAAATTACACACAATAACTTGCCTTTTGGTGAAAACGTTTGCTAAGTATTAAATGGCAGGCCATTATCAAAGGAATCTAGGCTCGATTTAAACTATGCAGTATTGCAATTCGAGTGGGCTTCAACTCGTTTAATCCCCAATTCTTTGACATTGCAATTCGAAACTGAGAAAGTGCCACAATAAATTGCATTTATTTATCAGACAATTTCACATGTATTTGAACTTATTAAAAACCAATTATAATGGTGTAAAAAGCCCAAGGATCCAATTGCAAGGACATAGAAAACGATTAAAGGCCTAAACAATTTGGAATTATTTGGCTTGGTAATTAGCCTCAAAATAATTTCGATGACAAATTGATGACAGTTCTTAATACGGGATATTTATTGAAGCACATAGCCATTATAGTGAAATCAATTAAATTGAACAATGTGGATTCAAGGCCTTTTTCTTGTTGCCTGCACACAGGCCACATGCAAATTTGCTGTCAAGTCGCATTAATAAGGCACTTTATCCAATTTAAATTTTGTAACATTAAGTATACGCAACGTGCAACTACCTGGTAAATGTAGTCTGTTCCCCAGTCAGCCTCCCATTTCATTGATTTGTGCAGTTGTGCAGAAGTTGTGCAAAATTTGCGCAAGTTTCGCAATTAATTATGATATTCGAACAGACAACCGGGCGTATGCGTAATGTGTGCATTGTTACCCGCAGATAGAACGAAATTCTATACACTCCTGGCATTTATCTCGGTTATATGTACACACATATACATATACATATACAATCCAACTGTTAATCTTGTGCCATAACTCGCACATAACTCTTTTCGAGGGAAACGTAGATTCAAACCCCATTAAGAGCACCCTTATGAGCAGTAGACCTGCCATCAATTAGCTGCCTCAATTGCACAACTCGATTAGCCAATTATCAGGGTTTGCCTGCCCGAATATAGCCTGCCACAATAAAATGAAAGCATTAACCCGAGGAGTGTTCGCAGCCACTTGCAGCAACAAATTGACTAATTAAAGAAGACAGCCGAACAAAGTTGGCAGCAAAGTTGATTCACTTGTCCAACACGCACTAATTACAAAGTGCAGGAAGTTCACCGATGGGGGAGTATCTCCTGAATACCAAGGAGCCTGACAGGCAGGCGAACTACAGGAACAGACTCATTAGGATCGGATTGAGGGCCCAGTTAAATTGGCAGCAGGACGAGGAGTACGGCGAACTGGAAACATGAGGATTATGAATGGCTGGAATCAGGCAAAGCTTGGCTTCTCAGGAGTAAGAGGCAGTCGAACACACAAGGATGTAATCATTAGCCCAGACATTGCATCAAGATGTTTGCACTTAAAGGTTACACATCTGTATAGACTGACAGGATCTGTGGGTTAAACGAAGAGCAGACTTGCTGCAGCTTTTCAAATGAAGTCAAATAAGTCAAAAAGCAGGCAATCAAATTTAGTCGAGTCTTATGATATGCCTAAATTCAATGGTTAGGCAAACGATTTTCAGCAAAGTAAACTTGGCAAAAGCCCAATAAAATCGACATAAGAAAACCTGTTTTTAAATTTAGCATTAATAATTTTAATATGCTAATATATAATGCTAATACTTCATTTAAAATACCGCCTATCAAACCATTTGTAGATTGGTTAAATCTAATCTTATCTATGATTCCATTAACTATATTTTTTCTTTATTATAACTTCCTGTATGTTACATTAACTTATAGTTTTAAACATTATTCATCATCTTAAATAAAGTTATATTTCTAGGGGCACTAAAAATTACCCCTTAGAAACATTAAGGAAACTTTTATTCGTAATGCAATTTTGTTTGACCCCAATAAATTACGCAGGACTATAATTATTATTAAAAGGGACCTAAATTCTAACTCTTCTGGTTATCATAAGTTTTTACAATTTACTGTAATTTTCTTTGTAAAATTACCTTTAAACTTTCTTTAATAAGTGATTTGAAAACCAGTTACTACAATTCTCAGTAAACGTTTTCGTATTTCTGAGTCACAGTAATCTTCACTGAAGGCATCTACTTAAAGCCCCCCAATTCCATTTGCTATAGAAGTTTTTGCAATTTACTCTAATTCCCTTCTTTAAATTATCTCTAAACTGTGTAAAATTACCCGTACCAAATGGCCAGGTCAGGAATGCAATTATTGTAGGGGTTTTGCAGTGAAAGCATTTCATATTCAATTTTTCCCCAAGTCAAGTCTGCCATGTCCAAAGTAAGCCCCCTCCAAAGTTATTTATACTGAAAAGCGCCGCAACTGTTGCACAGTGAAAGCAGTCTGGCATTCGTATTTTGGTTGGCTCTGCAGGATGAACTTCATACCCCCCTCCCACCCCCTCTCCACTGTTCTTTTTCCACTAAGCCCCTGTGTCCTGTGAGCTGTTGTTTCTGCCCAGCTAGCTGAGCTCAGTAATCTTTAATTTCATTAAAATTCAAGCAACGGCAACGACAGCTTCTTTGTCCTGTTCGTTAGGTCCTTGTTGTTGCCACGGATCCATGGACTGTGTTGCCGATGTTGCACGTCGATGTTGCCGCTGCTGCCGTAAGTGCTTATTAGAGGGCGAACGAACACTTCAGTGTAAGCGAGCGGAGCGCTCTCAGGCATTTATGAATTTTCTGGCTTTAATGCGTGGCGCAGCAGGAGGAGGAACAAGGAGCAAGGGGAGCAAGGGGAGAAAGGGGAGCAGGAGGAGCAGGAGGAGAAAGGGGAGCAGGAGGAGCAGGAGGAGCAAGGGGAGCAAAGGGAGCAGGAGGAGCAGGAGGAGCAGGAGAAGCAGGAGGAGCTGGCCCAGTGGCCCAGTTGTAGCCACTGGAGGGTCAGCAGATGGATCTCAGATGGACGGAAGAGGGGGGAGGGGCGGGAGGGGGGATGCCTGACTGGCATAAACTTTGCCAACAATGCTGCCCCGTTTTACACCCTTCATTCGCTGGCTTATCCTGTCCCACTCCTGCTCCTTTCTGCTCATAATGCATATAATTAACTGCAACTTGCAGCTCCGTGTTTGCCACAGGGATAATGCAAGCAAATTCATAGCTGATCCAAAGTTAAGCCATCTCTTTGGGTTGGCTAATGAACCGGGAAAAGAATAGAGATAATGATGTAAGTCTTAAGGCAATCAATAATAACCCTCAGATAAACTTGCAACTTCCTGTGGCAGCAGTAAACTTAAGTGCATTGAAGTCCGGATAATAAGAAAATTTTAATAGTAACAAGAAAGTGGTAGAGTAATTTTGATAGATGGTATAATAATATCTTAAATCTCAAAGCTTGAATTTAAATATGTAACTAAGTTTAAACACTTTAAGTCCCTCCGAAATCGATTTATCTATAAAAATAAATTGAGAGGCATCAGCAAAGCCAATCTAATTATTGCATTTCCCACAAAACTGAGTGATTCCCGACAAACGAACACTTATGAAACGCACTGTACTAAATGCTGTCAATTCGCAAATCGCCCACTGACGTCACAAGCCAAAAAGGATGTAAAATAGGAACGGAAAGTCAAGCCTCTCAGCACTCGCCTATTTATAATAAATGGAATGTCGCCACGCCCCTTAATATGCCCATCCCCTGCTCTCCCCCTCCCCCTCCCCTGCTGACACACTTGCCACATGCCATGGCCCCCATTTTCCACCATGTCCCACAATTTTTCCCATTCCAACCATTGTGCACCTTGCAACACATGAAAAACGAGAGGAGTTTTCCTGGCTGTGTGTGTGTGTGGCAAGGACCAACTACAACTATTTTGGACGTATATGTGGCAGCCACTGTGGCTGGTACACAGAGAGAAAATAAATATCATTTCAACCAAAGGAAATAATTAAAAATAATTTCCTTTTAAGTGTTTTGGCCAAGTTCAGGACAAATTGAAACTCAAAATATTGCTGTTAATGCTGTTTTACAAGATCAATATGTTAAATATTTCGTCTGGGTAACACACATATTTGGTTTACATATTACAATTTCACCAGCACTTCCGAAATTGATCATAAAAACAGACATTTCTTGACCTCTTGGTAATCTTTAAGTAGATTTTAAGCTGGAAGGTGTACCATATTTTATTACTGGGTGGGTGAGGAATTTTACAATCGACTGAACAATTTGGAAATAATAAGAAATAAGTCATTTAGGGATTGTCCTTTTTTTTCCAGTCTCCTGTTGGTTTCGTTGGCGACCGAGTGGCCGGCCACAGAAGTTGGGATGGGGCACCAGAACGGAGCAGGACA